CCCCCCCCCTCTGTTGCCGTTGCCGGTTATCCCGGGCACCACTGTCCCCTATGTGATAGCAATCAAGTTAAGTGTAAAAACCCCCTTCCTGTACAGGCCATTTTGCAGTGGTTTAAGCAAGTGAGCAAGTGGTTTAAAGTGACATTAAACCCTCAGATTTTTTAACATAAACCAATACTGTAATGTGTGCCTTACTGTAATCCATGGTAGTTTCCCTTCTCTTTGCTGCTCTTCCTTTTAAATCCGTATCTCTTCTCATGCTTGGCAGAACTTCTGTTTTGCAGCAGACTGCCTTGTCTCTGGAATGGCTACACGGTGTCTGTGTGTAGGTTCACAACCTAAGCCAGCACTACAGGAAGAGGCACTCAGCTGCAAAGGGAAGTTCTCCCCCAGCATGAGAAGACATGAGGATTTAAAAGGAAGAGCAGCAAAGAGAAGGGAAACTACCATGGATTACAGTAAGGCACACATTACAGTATTGGTTTATGTTAAAAAATCTGAGGGTTTAATGTCACTTTAAGGAAAAATCCACTTTCATTAGAAAAAGAATGTAGCATATACTGTAGATTTGCTACACAAGCCAAGAGACTTTAATTCTACTTTAAGTTTAGTTAAACTTTAAAGGGATCAATAGGAATAAAAGGGAGTGCATGATAATATGCAATAATATCTTGCAGGACAATGGCATAAAATAATTTTCAACATCATCTTTAGAAAACATTCTTATTTGTACCTGCGCTCTTGGCACTCCTAGATCTTTAGGGCCAATCCACATTTATTATAACATGCATTAAGGCCCCTTTCACACGGGTGCCCTCCATTCTGATCAGCAGGGGAACCATGCATAGATCTCGTGCTATTCGGAGCAGAACAGTTGTCACTTTTGGTACATCTGTGTCTATTATTTTTTTTCCTCCATGTTGTGATAAAGAAAAAAACTGAGCTGTATGGACCAGTGTTAGGTCTATAGGGAGTCGGATGTAAGCAGACGTGTCTGTTTACATCAGGTTACCTCCGATCTCACACAATCTGTTCCTTTTTTTTTTTTTAGACCCAGAAAAAGTCGGGGATAATCCGATGCAAATGGACGCACGTCCACTTGGATCTGGCTGCCCATAGAGTAACATTGGGCTTCCAATCAGATCCACCTGTCACGCAGATCTAACTGGACCACCCGTGTGAATGGGGCCTACTGCATGAGTTTTCTTTTGCTCTAGTGCAGTTTGAATATGCATCAATTGTCTTTATTACTCATGATGACAAACGTTTCCTTATATCTATAAAAAATATATGTTTCTTTGTGAAAGATTGCAATTGTTAAAAAGAAAAAAGCCGCTTTTGTTGCATTTTGTTTACCATAATCTTCCACAAAAACATGTTCTCCTATAACAGACAGGAAGATTTGTGTTCACACACTTTGGAAACACAGTTGATGATGCATGATCAAAGTACATTACAGGACATGAAAAACTCTTATCCACAGACCGATATCAACCAGTGGGTGGTGGTGTTGTACAAGAGTGTGTTCTATATCATCTTTATTTTTGCCCGTTCCCAAATTTATACATATAAATCAATGCACTTAATATTTCAAGAGTATTAGAGGATAATGTTATAAAAGTCTTCTCAAAAGAGCTAATTCAGACTTATTGAATGTGTGACAAAAAGCACAATTTGTACTGCGAAAAGGCTGTTTACACAGCAATATAGCATTCACTGCAAGCCTAGTTCCTTCACCTCAGGCCAGTACACATGTCCTATGACTAAAAGACAAAGATGTCTGCAAACATACAAAAGGGCAGGAGTGGCTGCAAGGACCCGTGTCTGTCAGTGTATTGTCTTGTGTTAGACATTACAGTACTGTATATCGGCACTGATGATTAAACCAAGGACAGACCGTGCAGCTGCACAAGGGCCATCCTGGATTTTAAGCCTGTTGGAAGGGTGTTGGGACCCTTCCTGTTGTCTTGTAGACATGGACACTGTTCAAACTTCAAGGGGACATGAGAAGCAGAGGGAATTTTTATGATGGCAACCTGGATTTTAATATCCAAGTATGCACCTCCTTCACGCCATGTCTGACCAGCACTACTGAGACATCCGGAATTCTACTCTGTGGACACAATTGACCTCAATGAGCTGGGCGGGATGCCGGACAGAGCGTCACAAGAGTTCTTAGCAATCTGGGACACTGTGACCCAATAAGGTGCAGCCTGAGGCAACCTCATTATAGGGAGAGCCCTGGACAGGAAGCAGTCTGACCCACTTGCATAAAAAAGATCAGGTATTGGAAAAAAAACCTCTTACACTGGTGGTCAGTGAAAGAGATAACCCTGATCTTGGTGGTCAATGTAGTGCTCCCTTAGTCTGGTGGTCAACAGAGAGAAACCTCAGTACTTAGGTGTATTGGTGGTCGATGTAGTGTTTTGCCTTACACTGGTGGTCAGCAGGAAAGGTACCCCCTTACACTGGTGGTCTGGGGAAGAGATACTCCCTTACTTTGCTGGTCAGTGGAAGAGATACCGTCATACATTGATGGCCAGTAAAAGAGGTACCCCCTTAC